CAGATAATTGTTATTATATCCTGGTATGTAAAACCATAGAATTAAAAGAGGGTGTTCTTTTTCCCATGTCTGTATAAATATTGCAAAATGCTCAGTTTCTGGTGGTGTTTATATTTTTATCCAGAAGACCTGAAAAAAAGGGGTTAATAAAAAAAAAAATCATTAATACAATATAAATTAGAATTTCCATTTTTACTGATTATTTTAAATTACATAATTAAACTGCCTATTAAAATGTTATGTACTCCAATTGTTCCTACATAACCTAAGGTTATATGTGCAATGTAGTTTCCAGGAAAAGCTACTTCAATTTATTAAGCCATATTTAATGCTGTGTGCATAGTATAACCTGTTGTTAATCATGGTTACTGGAGAAATTTTTTCACCAACAGTCTAAGTTTGGTCATTAAGAACTAATGTCCCAAAAAGTCCAGTGGATACATAAAACTCTACAAATAGGATGGGGCAAAAGCACACAGCTGTTTGTCTCTGGGCAGCAAAGATTATTGTTGATGTCAGATTTGTTACAAACAAAACTATTTTAAGGCTAATGGGAACGTATTTTCCATTAACTATATTTTCCTATTATCTTGAGCTTTTTTTTGTTCTTTTTTTGGGGCGGTAATTGACTAAAGTCAGACGATTGCTTAAAAGCTGCAAAGATGTCTGGATTTTGCTGCTCAGATGGACCCATGTGCAGCCAGATGATTTGCCCCTAAGACATCATCCTGTTATTTATCATTGTCCAGATTTTCCAATTCAGGCCCCCGAACGTGCCTGCATTTGGTTCGGATTTCTTCTAGAATGTACATTGCTGCATGTCTGAAATCCAGACCCGAATGCTGCAAATCCAAGCCCAGTTTTTTTTGTTTGTTTTTTAATCCAGAACTCTTTTCCTGCTGTCAGTTTAAAATTCCCAGTGGAGCTAGGGTTAATTACGTGATGGCTGGCCAGCAATTTCTAGTCAGTTGCCACATTAAATCTCCCTGTGCCGCCACCTATCATTCGGGCATATCTACTAAATGTTTAATGCTAGAGACTGGGCAGCTGTAAAATAACAGGAGGGACACACTGGTGTTCATTGGGTGGAGACTTTAAAATAGCCTTCATGGCCACCCATGGGTGAGGACTGCTGGGTACACTCGGTCCTCCCTCTTATTTAAAGCAGCCCTTACCTGTTGTCATTTTTAAACATTTTGTATACATGCAGGTGGTGTGTTTGGTTGCAAAATACCTTTATTTAGTAATATGGGAGTTGTATTGACCCCCCCCCCCCCATAGGGCTTTTATTTATTCATTTTACTTTTTCAATATGGCAGCTGGCTAGCAAGTGCTGGTCAGCCAACACATAATTAACACTTATGTTTTTTGTTAACTATTTGCAAATAGTTCTTAAAAAGCAACTGAATGATAATTTGTAGACGAGCATCCTGCTGCATGCATTTGGTTTATCTTCGACTGCCATGAGTTGATAAATCTTTGTTTCCTTTGCTTTCAATTGGTTTGGATGTGAATATTAGTGATATTCTGAATGCTTCCAAACTAGATTTGCAGGATCGGTCAGACTGACCGAATCCTGATCGCATTTGGCATTAGTGAATCTTTGAATTGCTAATGCCCACAAAATTCCGTGTTTTGCAAATTATCATTCACTTGCACTTGCAGTTTATTGGTTATAGTTTGCCGGTATGAGTCACAATAGGAATTATTTAGAAAGCTAAAAATTGTGGAATACTAGTAAATTAATTGTTTTGCTTTAAAATCCATCTGACTAGTGACAAAAGAGAGCTGCAGAACTTTCTGCAGGCATTTCTCCTGCAGTCCAGAGAATCTGCTCTCGTTGCTTTGATCAGCTCTCTAGCAAGCACGTCTCATGCTTGCTAGAGAAACATGAGAAGAGAGTGACACTACTTCCTGACATCGATGATTGACAATAAAGCCAGAGTCTTGATATCATGAAATATCATAATATCTTTAGTATGTCCCACGATTCTTTTATAGAGCCATCCCATCATCTACTGTCGGCAAGGAGTGGACAGTGACCCATCCATCCTTCATTAATGAAGTTTAAGCTCCCATCTGAAGCTAGCTGAGTGAGGACAAAGGGAAGTCAAGTTCTTCGGGTATTTTACATGCCCATAGCAACTCACTTTTAAGATATATGCCACCACTAAAAGCATTGTAGGTGGGGCCATTAGGGAGTTGTTAAACCTCCATTATACTAATATAGCGGTTATATTGACCTCATAGCCTTGTACTTTAAACTTTGGCGGCTGGCTAGCATGTATTGTCCACACTGCACACGGTTAGCCTTTACACTGATGAGGACTTTTATTCTTTGACTATAATGCTGCCAGTAGCCAAATAATTTTAGTTTTTTACAATCTATATGACAATTTTCAGCATCTAGGCTTGGATTTTAACCCACCAGATCTGGATTTCGGCTGGCTGACAGCTTTTGGTTATTTGAAATATGGTCCATATTCATGCACACTTTGATCATCCTTGGCAAAATCTGGAGAAAATTAAATCTTAAAATCACTAGCCACATTTTGCAGTCTGAAACCTCCTGTACTGCAGAAAATGCTTGTGCTCTATCTGTTATTGGGCCATTCAACGTTAAGAGAGTAAACCTGTTAGTAATGAAATATATAATTTATCTCTATGCAGTGGTAGAACTACCGTGATTGCATAGGAGCCCAGAGCACTAGGGGAGTTTAGCACAGGGCCATGAGTTTTTCTGCAGCTAGCAATGACCCTTATTGCTGAGCAAGAAATGGGTCGCAAGAGTATTCTGAGAACGGACAGCAGCTAAAATAGCCTGCCCTTCAGTGGGTCCCCGCTCAGAACTCAAGCTGGTTTTAGCTCATCTTGTGCCATTACAGAGAGAACATATCTGAAGCATATCAGACTGGTCCCACCCAAACAGGCAGTCCAGATCCGAAATGCCAGCAAGTTCTCTCTGCACAAGAGATACAGCAACCCCAGACAATCGTTTCAGCCTTGTTAGGCATCATCAGTGAGGCATAGCTGATATCTCTCTAGGCACCGTGAGCAAGGGGTCCACGTCTGGATTAGCCTTAAAACTAATGGAGAGCAAAAAACAGGTCGCAAGAGTATTCTGAGAATGGACAGCAGCTAAAATAGCCTGCCCTTCAGTGGGTCCCCGCTCAGAACTCAAGCGGGTTTAGCTCATCTTGTGCCATTATAGAGAGAACATATCTGAAGCATATCAGACTGGTCCCACCCATATGGGCAGTCCAGATCTGAAATGCCAGCAAGTTCTCTCTGCACGAGAGATACAGCAACCCCAGACGATCGTTTCAGCCTTGTAAGGCATCATCAGTGAGGCATAGCTGATATCTCTCTAGGCACCATGAGCAAGGGGTCCACATCTGGATTACCCTTTAAACTAATGAAGAGCAAAAAATGCCACCCTTATTGCTGGCCTAAAACAGTGCACAGAAGCAGGTGGTCAGTCAGGGGCTCCAGCCTCTTTCTTTCTCTCAGAGAAAGAAGCAAGGGCTGGACCAACCGACTGGGCCACAGTGAGATCTGAGTGACTACTCATCTTGGAGTTAGCTTCCAAGTTTCCACGACACCACACCCTTGGGATCCTTGCATTCCCTCTGGAACTCGTGGCCATGAAGAGTGCTCACACTCGTGCAGCATCCTGGTTGCACGAGGCTCTGTGCTGGGACGATGTGCCTGTCGCAGAGGGGAAAGAACTGGAATGGAGGGTGGAGATCTGAACTGAATTATGGAAAGAAATCCTTGAGTAGATTCGACCCTTTTGGTGTAATTTCCTCCAGACTACAGAACATCGGCACTGGGAGCAACTCGAGTTGCAGATGTCATTCCTGGAAGAGCAGCCCCTGGATGAATGAATAGGGGAACTCAAGGTGCTTGTAAGGATGGAAGTGCGGCTGGATGAGTCATACCAGGCCTTGTAGTGGCATGTGATCGAGCAATGCCCGTGGCTGGTCGATGGTGACTGTATCAAGGGGGAAGACTTCGATGGCCCTGGTCTTTTATGGGAGTCTTTTGAGGACAATATAGAATTCAGAAGCCCGGCTGCTTCTCACTTCGGGAGTATCCGGGATGATCGGGAAGATGTATTGGACCTCTCAGAGGTAATGGAGCTGGAGCCAGATCTGCCTTTTTCTGGCTGCCCTGGAGTAGGAGCTCGAGCAGGACTACGTGTGCCTGTTTTACTGTATACAGCCGCAAGCCTCAGAAATGGGTGTGTTTATGGACTTTGACCCGAATTATGGAAAGAGATCCTTGAAGAGAGTTACAATTGTCTAGGAAGCAAAGTGGGCAGAGTTACTCGGTCAAAGCACTGGAGCACTGTCACAATTATATTTAAACACATCCCTGCATTCAAAAACCAACTCTACACATAAATGCATTCTTCATTCAAACACCATCACGACATAAAAACACACTCCTACATTCCCACAAACACACCATACAAAAACATGCCTACAATCAAGCATACAAACATTCTTCAGTGTTAAACATCCCTGAAGGATGGGAAGACGGTTAAGCACCAGCTGGCAAAGCATTGTTGAAACAGATATGGATCTACTTTTTGGCCACCCTTGCAATTGGGTGCAACCCAAAAAAATCTTGCACCAAGGCCCTCTAGTTCCACCACTGTCTCTATGATAAATTGTATAATTGTTGCGCAGTGTGAGTTTAGACATTTTGAGTGTGCCTGTCACCAGAGATATATTTTAAAGTAGACATTTTAAGATTTTAAGGGAAATTACTAGAGCAATGCTTTTCCGCATAAATCAATCACTAATTCTAAGAAGCATCACTAAGATATGATATTTTCATGCTTATACATTTTGAAACTACTATTCATTGTTAATATATGACAGGAAGTCTGTTGATTTTGTTTCTTCCCCTGTTTCTGAGGTAGGCGTGATCACTATCTGAGTTTAAGTATAGAAAAGCAAAAAATAAAAAAAAACATCCTTAAAACCTAGTGGCTCAAGAAGATGTCAATACAGATAACTTTAGCAAATGTGGCTGTGTGAGACCCATGAAGAGGATTTTACTCCTTGGTTACCCCTGCTTTAATTCAAAATTTTAAAGATTGTTACTACGTCATGACTTCTTGTAAGTATGTTACGATACTTGCCTTTTATTAATGAATATTTCTACTTTGATTTGCACTTTTCAAATATACTATAGCAGGGCTATTTACTAAAGTGGGAATTCAAAGTGAATTTCATATTTAATCCAGAGTAGCTGTACTGAAAGCAGTGCTGACTTAAATTTAAAATTCATTCGGAATTCACCTTGAATTCTCACTTCAGTAAGTAACCCTGTTGTGACTGTACATGCGTTTTAGTTGTTATTGTTTTAGAAATTACCTTGCTGTATTTGTGCTATTAGAAATTTGATAGCTTTGGAAGGCTGGATTAGCAAGCCTGCTTTAACTGATGCTCTTTGTTTTCATTGCATGATAGATTAAGTAAAAGTTTGTTATTAAGAGCAGTTATGGGGCAATTTTTTATAAGTGGAGAAATCAACATGATAACAATTCGAATGATCCTGCTGGGTGCTTAACTTTTAGAACTAGGCCATAGAATAAGTCTTAAGGAAAAAAGTAATAATTTTTCTCTGTTGGGTTAGAGTATTAATAGGTGTCCATACAGTATCTGAGAAAAGGCCATTTTAAAAAATTCATGACTACTGACAAACTTATGATTTTCACATGCTAACACACATTTTAAAGAAACATTTCAAACACTATAGCATTCTACCCTGTCACCCCACTCCTTTTCCTCTACATTGTTAATAGTTAAACCAATTTAGAATGGTTTCAATTCTTACTTGGGGTATGGTGGGTGCTTCTCAATGCCTCTTCTACTAAGCATGATCTTTCGTTAGCTCCCCTAGGCTAAGCCTTGCATTGTGGTCCTTGCTCATTTGCTGAGAACATCGCTCTCCATCACTAAGCTTCTGTCTGTCCATCTTTAGCAGAGGAGGTGGGAAAAGCATCTGACAGAACCCATATAAGAAGTCAAACCTTCCTAAAATGGAGTGACTACTTCCAATGGGAGAGCCAGGGCACTCCTGGTTTCAAAACCACTACAACATGCTGTAGTGTTAATGGTGCTTAGAATGTGCCTTTAAAGTTGTATGAATTGATATTTTAGCTGAGAATGATTTTTGGCTGCAAGATACGTGGTCATGAAATAATAGAATCTTATTTTTCAGGCTTAGACAACCTTAGATAAGGTCTGAAAGCAGAAAATTAAACATGGGTATGAGTTTTTCCATGGGTTTTAACACACTGATGTAGGTATTTTTACACATTTTGCTTAACAATAATTAAATGTGTGAGCAATATGGAGACTAAATTTTAATCTATTTCTTTCATTGCTCATTGTTATTATACATGTTACCTTGGCGCAATTACTTTATATATGACCTGTAACCCACGGGCAATTGGCTCCTATTTAGTAAAAATAAAGAAACATGCTAGTCTCAAATTGCCTTTTTTAGTCTTTGTTCCATTAGAATGTATCATAGTGTTGCTTGACACTTTGGGGTCATGTATAAAAATTGATGCATTCGCTTTTACATTTGTGCCAGTTTTGCATGAATGCACCATTTTCATTCTATAAAAAAGTTACTCCAGCATTATATATTGGTATATTTAACCCCTTAAGGACACACCTTCTGGAATAAAAGGGAATCATGACGGAATATTTCCGTCATGTGTCCTTAAGGGGTTGAACTTCTTCTTACTCTTTGTTTTGCTCTTTTGTTGTTTTAAATTGTTTATTGATCTTAAAGCTGTGAGCAACAGGGATATTTTAACCACAGAAAGTCTCACCAGAGTGCGGTATTGATGATAGCTATATATAACAAAATGGATACATTTCATTGGCTTTATGTTTTTGCAACTTTAATCTAAACACCTTAAGTTACATAAATTACAAACAAATTCCTAAAGCCCAAGTTACACCATAATATTTGACATATAACAAATTACAGGTCTGATAATCTTATCGATGCAACCACATAACCACTCATATCAGTTATCTTCAGACACACACTTCTTCAGACTCTCTACTCCCTGTTACACTACACTTACAAGCAGAACTAAATAATAACAACTGGGCAAAGATTATCAGGTAGAACAAATTATATATATACAGCGTCTTTTCTTAATCTTTCACTCAGGTTGGCTTCTTTTGAGGTCTCTTCTTAGCTAACACTCTCGTCTTGAGGTTTAAATATTCAATTCACAAGAATATGTACAAACTCTTGCACTATTTGTTCAAATCCTTACGAACACACTGAGTCTTTGCTGCATGCACCCCTTCATTCTTTCCTTTGCTAGACTTCTTTTTAAAGGAACACTACAGTGACAGGAATACCAACATATATTCCTGTCACTACGGGTATGACAACACTATTTAGGGTTCGGCCCTCTGAAAGCAATTTTAGAGTTTACTCCCCTATATTACAGCGCTGCAGACTATACACACAAGAACAACTACATTAACCCCTTAAGGACACATGACGGAAATATTCCGTCATGATTCCCTTTTATTACAGAAGTTGTGTCCTTAAGGGGTTAAATTGTAGTTGTTCTGGTGACTATAGTGTCCCTTGAAGCATAAGACAGTTTACCTTCACCCAACATGTTGTTGCAAGAGAACCCAGTTCTTTCAAAACATCCTTTTCATAGTTCAATGGTTCCAATGGCATCATTGCAAAACAAGCATCTTTTAAAACATACACATATTTGTAAAACAGCAAATAAACTTATCGGTGAAATGGTGAATAATTAAGACAAACTGAGATGAATCATCACAGAATTTACCTTACAACTCTAAAGATGTTACTGTTATTCTGGGCAAGGTAAATACTCTACAGAAGTAGGTAGATAATGTGCTTAATCACAATAATCAAGATATCATTAAACATTTTTCCTTAAACTTTTTTTTGTTGCAATTTCTTTTTTATTAAATGTTTGACATTTACATACAATAAATGGAGAAAGGACAATAAAAAACAAAAACAAAAACAACATTTACATACATGTCATTTATAAAAACTGTAGATAATGGTAATAGAAACATAGAATTTGACGACAGATAAGAACCATTCGTCCCATCTAGTCTGCCCAATTTTCCAAATACTTTCATTAGTCCCTATAGTTAGGATAGCCTTATGCCTATCCCACGCATGCTTAAACTCCTTTACTGTGTAAACCTCTACCACTTCAGCTGGAAGGCTATTCCATGCATCCACTACCCTCTCAGTAAAGTAATACTTCCTGGTATTATTTTTAAACCTTTTCCCCTCTAATTTAAGACTATGTCCTCTTGTTGTGGTAGTTTTTCTTCTTTTAAATATAGTCTCCTCCTTTACTGTGTTGATTCCCTTTATATATTTAAATGTTTCTATCATATCCCCCCTGTCTCGTCTTTCCTCCAAGCTATACATGTTAAGATCCTTTAACCTTTCCTGGTAAGTTTTATCCCACAATCCATGAACCAGTTTAGTAGCCCTTCTCTGAACCCTCTCTAAGGTATCAATATCCTTCTGAAGATACGGTTTCCAGAACTGCGTACAATACTCCAAGTGAGGTCTCACCAGTGTTCTGTACAAATGCACTTCCATCTTTCTACTGCTAATACCTCTCCCAATACAACCAAGCATTCTGCTAGCATTTCCTGCTGCTCTATTACATTGTCTGCCTACCTTTAAGTCATCAGAAATAATCACCCCTAATCCCTTTCTGTACTCTGCCCTTGGGTTTTTACGTCCAAGATGCATTATCTTGCAATTATCCACATTAAATGTCAGTTGCCACAACTCTAAATGCGCTTAATTAATTTTATATATATAATTAATTTGCATCAGTTTATTTAACCGATTTTCAAATAATTTCAGTTTTTTTAATTGAGACTGAATATATCCCGCTTACTACTCTTGCCGTTTTTAGTTGAAATTGCAGTTGATATAATACGTTATTCCATGAAGGGTTTAGTTGGGATTTCCAATTTCTTTCTATTATTATTTTTACCACTAATAGACTGTGTATTACAAGATGTTTTTCTGATAATTTCCTATTTGGTCAGTCCATATATAACAGAGCCACCTGTGGGGATCTATTCATTTTAAATTAGATGGCACCTCCACCATATATGGATATAGTTTCCTTCTTCAATTTGGCATCTCCAACATATAGATGTATTTGTAGCCTGATATTTTAAATAGTCTTGTGGGGACTATTTACTTTATATTGAATTTCTAGTAAGTTGAGACATTTTATTGCTGGACAGCTCACTAAGAATGCAGCTTCACAATGGATGCTGTCCAGGAGGTGGGAGGGTCTGGGAGGGAGGGTCTGCTGCTGATTGGCTGGAATGTGTCTGCTGACTGTGAGGTACAGGTTCAAAGTTTACTCAATGATGAGTCCGTGGCAAACCGTTCGTGGCGAACCGTTCGCGAACCGTTTGGCGAACAGTTCGGGACATCACTACTGGATATATTTCTGATAAATTCGAGCACTGATCCTCCTGTATTATCTTTATGTCGAGCTCTTTCTCCCATGCTGATAGGGCTTGATGACCTATAGTTTTTTGAATAAGCGTCATTAAAGCCAAGGCTCTTATAACCAATTTTTTTTAAATCTTTTATTTGAAAAAGATCTTTGAGATTTTCTATTAGATTGATATTCTGCTTAATCAGATATTTTTATTTTTTTAATCTTTTTACTCCTAAAAAATGAAATGCTTCAGCTGACGTTAAATTAACAACTTCAACTAAATCTGAAAATGTCTTATTTTCGTTTCCTATAGTAATTGGTTTATGGAAGAAATGCTGCATCTTATACACTTTTTTAAATTTAAATCATCTACTATATATTCCAAAAAAAATTAAATGATAAAAAGGACGGAATTAGATTTGGGAAATTGTATATATTTTTTAAAATTTATTTTAAACCAAGAATTTAGAGTTTGAGTTCGAATTTTACTTAATATTGTTATTTGCTTGTCTGTCAACATATTTTTTGTGTCTTAAGCCATAAAAAGTAATCTATTGTTTTCATTTCAGAGCTAGAACTTATATGCAGAATAAATATTTACGCATAGTGCAGTACTATATGGTAGCAATGTTTAAAGTTGTGCAAAGTGATTTCAGCATCCTGACTTTTACTCTACAGAACTGTGTTCTGGCTCTGTATAACAATCTCTAAATGTATACAGAGTAGGTTAGTGGGTTCAAATCGTCATGACTGAAAGTGAAACGAGGAATCAGGGGATCTCCCCAATTGGCACGCAGCAGTGCCCACTCACCATAAATACACAGATTGCTCATTCTCAAAGCCTCTGCTAATTGTCACCTGAATCACTGTAATGTTTCTGTCACTTTTAGACTTTGGATAGTTACAATAAACTTGCATTTGGTTTCAAACAAATTGCGATTTGCCAGAATGGTGGGCAGTTGGCAGTCTGTCCAAATTCCGTAACTCTAAATATGATATGACTGAAAAGGGGACTAAGCAAGTGATCTCTATTCTGTGTTTTAAATGTCCATCCCTGGCAAAAAAATATAAGATGATTGATGGAAACAAAGATAATTTATGGTTAATTCATGCACACTGTCGGATTACAATCTGTTTGATAGAACAATGACATATTTTTATATACCTTATTCACAGTATATAGAACTTGTATGGCATAAATGAAATCACACATTCCAGGTAAGAATAGCATGAGAGGGGGAGGGGGTCATAGCAAAAGTAAAAAAAAAAAAAAAAAAATCTTTGCAGTTTTAATGAGTGATATGAAGACAAAAACAAAATTAAACTTCTTGGATTATAACATATGCAAGGAGCATAGTCTTAGAGTGCTGTTTTAAATAGAGTAATTAGCGCAAGGTTGGTTTCTGGTGAAATGGTTTCTGGTGAAATGCATTGTGCGTAATCAGTTATGGCAAGTACACATTTAGCATAAATTATCTGCTACAAAGTTCTGTCTCGATGGGTGTGGAAACCAGCATTACTAAACCTCACTGAGAACTCTGGCACAATGCTCTGAACTATTTTCTCTTACTATTGAAGTTACAGAGAATGGAACACTGAAAATGTACCATAAGCATATTGACTTCTGTGTTGTACTTGGCTGAATGTAATCCTTAAGTATATTTTTTTATGTCAGAATAAACTTGAAATTCCCATTGGGTAAAATAAGAACTAGTAAGACATTTTAGAGAGACGTATGCATAACTCCAGGGTAAGCCAACAAAATTAGACATTTATAATCTGTTGTTGCAGGTTAAAGAACCACTAAAGCAGTAATAATACAAAACTGTAGTCCTAACTCTAAGGTGTCACTGTCCCCAATAACTATAGCCTCCAGGTGTATAAAGGATTAAATACCCATTTTACAGACTTCAGCGCTGGCTCGGTCTTCTCCTTCAGAGACGTCCCACTGATGGGGGACCCTAATCCACATGCAACACGTACAATTAGGAAAGCATTGAATCAGTGCTTTAATATGGGAATTTGAAGACGTTAGATGTCCTCATGCAGAGCATGAAAATGTCTGGCATCATTTCAAACAGTTATTCATAGAAAGGCTTGGTGTGTGTTAGCAAGACAAGTATATTCAAACACAAATACAGAAAGACAAAGAATGCACCACGAGAACCCATTACTACTGGACAAAGCTATGGCTCTACCATATGAGGAAAGACTTTCCAGAAATAGAAATGTATTTTATGTCCAACTTATTTTAGAATTTCCAACTTTATATTAATATTTTATAGAATAATTTAGAAAGCTTGCCTTAGTGTGTCCACTTCAGGGAATTATGTAAAGTGTGGAGGAACTCTGAGTGAGTGGACTATGTTTTAATCAATAGCTTTGTTAATGATAGAATAATGGACTGTGTTATCCAGTGGAGAGTGAATTTAGGGAGTAAAATAACATTTTTAAATTTAAATATAAAATAGAGAAACTGAAAACTCATCTGACTAAGAGAATATAAATGTGTGACTGCTTGTTTGTATTTTAGTGTGTGTGTAGCATCAATGTGAATGTACGTGTATATTGTAAAAAAAAAGAAATATGTGAACCTGTCACTTTGTGCTTCCAGTGTGGCACAAAAAAAATAAAACTGTTATAAACAAGATAAAATACTAATACACTATCAAATAAATATTAACTTTAAAGTGCAAATTGCATAATGTGCATATACATATATTTAATATACTCAGCAGCAGTATACATTTCCAGGCAAGTTAAAAACTTGAAAAAACATAGAAAAATTAGCACACAATATTGTACTATGTACAAAACAATATCATATATACAGCAGACTAGTAAATGCCCACTCACATGAATCAGAACCGGAACTGACTCTATCTGTACACCTTGGAGTCACTGGGGGACCCCTATGCTCTTTTGGTGTCCTCAAAGACCTCAGGGACAAACCAGGTAGAAATGTATAGTGTAGTATATCTTTAAAAAAACGTCACAATATAATTTTAATTTGGAAAATTACTCATATGTTCCTGAGCCGTTCCTTGGCTCTTCTAAAATTACAATGTGTCCACTTTTAGGGGATGCCACCCTCTGTGAACCAAATGCAGGAAATGCTTCAACGAATGATTACACAATTATATTTATTAAATCACAAATATCAAAAAAATAAAAAAAAATAAAACCAAGATGTAAGTTCATCTACTTAGGCTCCCTCAGTCCTTATGAATGTCCCTGTAAAATAATGTCCTTTTTTAGCCCCTTTCTTAGTTCAATTAACTTCATTGGCGTATGTTCCACACCTCCTTTTGGTGCTAACCACATAAGGGATGTGTTCCAGGCCTCATTATGATCCAGAGGAATGTGATTTGCATCTTTTGCATTCCAAACTGAGAAGCATTCTCACGGCGACCATTTTTTTTAAATGATCCACCGTGGTTTAAGTTGCCATCTTGGATGTGTTCACCGTGGTTCAGAACTCCGGCTTCCATCTTGATGGTTTTATTGTTCCAACCCTCCATATCTTTCTAAATGTTTATTTCTGGCACTGGACTCTATAACTTATTTTATTTATGTTCTGTTTATAACAGTGTACCAAACCCTAGTCTCCCCACTGGATTCTATAATAAGTACACATTTATAAAAAGTATATAGTATTACATCTAAGTATATTGAAAATAATGTGGTGGGATAAATAGACTGATTTGACTCTGTAACACACAATGATATATGGTTGGTCTCACAACAAGGCCCCCCTCTTTGTGTCTGGAAACATATATGGGCCCATTGCAAACTAAAATATCAAATAAAAATTGTGACAGAACCATCCGTCTGACTAGTGTGGTGGATTCGTCTGTTTCCTGCACCTTCGTGTAAATGGCTGTTTCCTATAGACCAGCCATACGAATGACTATTTTTCACGGAACAAAGCTATCGAACGGAAGGCCACCCAGGAGAGAAGTGTGCTGCTGGTTAACCTATTGATCCCAATTAGAACGTTGTGGTTAACCGCAGACACTTGTCAATTAAACTGAATTCAGGGTGGCCGTCATTCGTATGTCGACCACGAGGCAGCGGCCATTTTAAAACACACGAAAGCCCAGCGGTGTTCGGCTCTATTTTCATGGAACTAAAAACGGACACTTTTTCTGCCGAACACCGCTGAATCAACGGGATGCCGTATGAAAACGTATGAACACCGGCCGTTCAGGAGTTGTACAGCACATGAAAAGACTTAACCCAGATAGCCCTCCCATGGAGTCAATCGCATACCGAAAGACTGTAAGAACTTTGACTCCATGGCGATTGAACTATTTGTGTGGGATCTGAGCGCTATTCGCCAATAATATGCACTCAGATCCAGGCTATCTGGGGATATGTGATGTGAATAAGAAATGTTCGGTTATTTTCAAATGATTTATTTTTATGTATTTTCTGGTTTTGTATCTAAGATGGCGATTTGTCTTTGTCCTGGAGATAATTGAATTACTTCTCAATTATCTCCAGGGCAGAGGGGAGGAGACCATATTGCATTGTGGGAAAAACCTGTGACTGTATGTCTGAAATGTCCCCCTGTCTATCGGTCATTTCAGTCTCCCATTTGGTCCCCTAGGGGAGTGTCCACCAAGTGGGAGACTTGCATAAATACGGGCAGGTAGCCCACAGTAAAGCCAGATCCTGTTTAACCCACAATGCGGAGCTTCTGTCTCGTTATTGGGGGGATTCTTATTGCGCTTAGAGACTGATTAATGTGGTTAGCAGCGGTTCGTGGATTTCCGTTCGGGAGTTTGGAGCCTTCTCACGGATCCCGGTCGGGAGATTACCGCTTCCCCTGGTTATGGTTCGTGTATTACAATTGATGCGAATGGATTATTGATATTGCGAAAGGGGAAGGTGAACTACACGGTGGTTTCTCTTAAAGACACCAGAGGTGTCTTAACAAAAATAATAATAGTAAAACAGAATATATAACAGTAGAATATTTACAGAAGAGATATTTAAAAAAAATAAAAAAATAATTACTATAGATATCAGACCTTTGAAAAGGGGGAGTTCATTAGATCTAATACAAAAAAAAGGTTGGGGCTTGACCAGCATGGTTTCCAAATGTGCAAAGTGTGTGCTCCTCACAAAACCCCTCTAAATTGTGATCTGGTGATGGGATCTTACCCACACACACTGCCCAAATGCATACATACCAGCTCCTGAACAAAGTGAAGACTCTCTGGGCAAGTTTTCATTTCATCTCCTGAGGCCTGATTCCACATCGTAGCCTACAAGCGTGTAGCAGTATCTGGCATGCTCGATATCTTGGCGGCCTGCCAACACACCTGAGGAGGGGGAGGCCATCTATCCTCTTCCTAGACCTCATGAAAGCTTGTTCCTGGGTCCTGCCCCCCCCCCCCCTTAGGATTGGTGGGAGATATCTTAGTCCCCACTGGTGGAATCTAGTGGCCTCAGTGTGCCACTACACTTTACACAGGTCTGGAAGGTTGAGGCCTACCTTTTAAAACGGCCACCAAGCCAGGACCTGCTGCTTCAAGGACCTTCTTACTGCCTACTCACTATGTGGACTCACTGCTGAGAGCTTTTGACTGTCTGTGTGCTCAGTTCTTGGCAAAACTTTATGAGCGTAAGCTTCATAATACTCACATAATTTCTCTGATCCCAAACGCATGCCACTAGCGCTTTGTGTTTTTTTCCCGGGCTTCGCCCACGGACCATCATAAAGGTGGAGACGGCCTCTGGCACCAGGCGATCCGACTTTCAAGCCAGTTCACCTGGACTGAGACTCACTCTGAGTTTTTTCCCCAGGCACAGCCTATACAGCTGTTGGGCTCCCATAATACAATGCTGGCTGCCTAGAAAAAGAAGAAACCCAATGGTCTCTCCTGTAACCAGATGTGGCTGGTCTCCGAGGAACACTTTACCTGAGTGTGAGGAGACATAGGTCCAGTGGGATGGCCTGCTCCCTTTAGCTGGACTCCAATCATTCATCAACAGTGTCTCTCCAGGCATCGGCTGATTTGGCTGCTGAACACTCCTACATCAAGGCTTATTTTTATTTACGTCAGCCTGTCTAAAATAATTTCATCTTAGGCAATCAAACAAATGTCACTATTAATATTTTATATCAACTCATGTTACTAATGAATAAAGCAATAGCATATATAAAAATGCACATTGCAAGCATTTCAAGTCCTTGTGGATGACAGATGAAAGAAGAAAGACTAAATGAGTTTAAATTGAGTCTAAATTTACTGTCTTGCTTTGTTTAATTCAGCATTACCATCCCATTTATGACCTCTAGGATCCCAGCTTTTCATGTTGCCCTTGGATGTTGAAAGGCCTCTTATTGCTTGCACAGCAACCAAATCAATAGTCTCATTGCTCTGGACCTTCAAACTTTAGTCCATTTGTTTACTGTACATTAATCACATCTAAAGTGCTGTCTGTGCATTTAGTGCTTCTTACCACTGCATAGCTACAAACTTACGGTTAAATATAGGTATCACTATTACAGCTAGAGATCTGTAAATGTGGTACTTTGAAGGTAGTGAATAGAATCATCTTGTACATTTTGTCTTTTTATCTGGAAGGGATTCCGTAACATTTTGCAGGTTTTTCCAATTTTGAAATGAAAGGAAGAGGGTGCATTCAATCAATAGCACCCAGGTGAATTGGCTCACAGGGCAGCAAAACAATTCAGATAATTACACTTTTTTACATTTTTTGAACTTGAGCTTATACAAAATATGGCTTTAGCCGCTAGACTGTCTATTGCTGCAGCTGCGCTACACCCTCTGTGAGGTTATCGGTACTAAACTGGTGATCTCCCGGCCAATAGATTGCTTATCGCATAGAAAAGCAGTCAATGCAATGCTTCTCTGTGAGAAGAATTGCTTTCCACTTGTGCTGGGGCAGAAAGCAATCTGGAGAGCACCATTTTGCCTTTCTGATTGACCGCTAGGAGGGTGCAATTTAGCACCTTTACATAAAGTGCTGAGGTGACATTCAGTGAACCAACAAAGCACCACAGCAAGCTATATATTATATAATATTTAGGGGTTCGGAGTAACCCCCAACCCTTGGATACCGATCAAACTACACGAAACTCCAAGAAGTGCCTCTAGATGCCGTCTTAATACTGCAATGGAAACATTGTAGTTTATTTTGCATTGCAGGACTAAAAGGGACAGTGGCACTGTCCCCAGTACACTTTAATGAGATGTAGTGGTCTGGGTGCCTACTTGAAACTGTCCATACACACTGTCATACAATCCCCAACTCACTTCCCCAATTCCCCACACACTGTGATATGTTAGCCATGTCCCGACGGGGGAGCAGATAATAAGTCTGAGCCCTGGTACCATTGATCCTTGCCTCCCATGTTCAGTTTATACAAAGAAAGTATTGCTTGCATTTGGCAATACTGCATGGATATATTCAGAATAATCCATCATAACAACAAAAAAAACCCAGCTTTGGCTAATTACTATTTTCTTTTTGAAAATCTGGAATAATTACTTAATGATCACATTTACGTAACTTATTTTGCTGATCGATTAAATTATTTCCAAAGCACCAGCTACTCGAGAGGTTTTGTTTTGTTGACTATAGAACAGGGGAGATTTAAAGCGCTACGGAATCTGTTGGCGCTATATAAATGTCAATAATAATAATAATAATAATAATTTAGAAATGTACATGTTCTGTGTGTGGTTTGGAGATTTTGCGACTCTTTTGAAATCCTCAAAATGGCCTAACCCTAATATTGAGAAATGTAGAAATTGTGTTTTCTGGCTTTCTCAGAATCTATAGCGGGCTATCTAATACCCAGCAGACACAAATAATCCTAATGAATACTCTGCTGTATGCGAGTTAAAAATATATTGGCATAATCATGGAATATGCATGAGCTGCGTCCAGCTACAAAAATGTGCCTTGACTTTTACAGACATTTATGTTGACATTTGATATATTTTGACTATATTGATAGTTTCTAAGATATCTTTAAGCGTACTCTTGCTACTGCAGCTTAAATTCTTAGAAAGAAAACATTACAGAGAGCATTTTTTTTCTTCTTTTTATAAAAAAACTGAATGTTAATGTACTGATTGTACATTTCATTTGTGTCCCACAATGAACATCAGTTATTTGTTTGTTTTAGTATTTATTAAAAATATCTGCTACTGCACCTTCGCAATTATATAGGATCATGATGATTAGAGACAGTAGAATTAGTTGGCCTTTCTTTATTTCTTTCCTCTAACATCAACTTAGAATCAAATTTGGGCTCCTTAACCCCTTAAGGACACATGACATGTGTGACATGTCATGATTCCCTTTTATTCCAGAAGGTTGGTCTTTAAGGGGTTAAAGAACTTTGAAAAGTTCTTTCCTTCACCCAGTCCTCAAACTATTCGACACTGAGGAAAAAAGAAAAAACTATTTTCTCTATGTTTGTGAAGGAAACATAAGTGAGTATCTTGAATGAGGATTAAGTGTGTTTCTTAAACTGGGACTAGGCCAGCATTACCCAATTGGTGTTCCGCGGACTTCTGCTGTGATTTCCCTATCGGGTGACCCATTCACATAGGGTCACCAACTGGTATCGCTAAACTGGGGCTTGGTTAGGCACCGTGACCCTTTAAGAGCGCGACTGGGTCCCTGTAGTATCCGATCCTGGGAGGAAGTGACAGTGTATCACTTCCTCCCAGACTTAGAGCGCACCGAGTGAGACAGGGAGTGAGCAGCTGCAGATCCTCAGCAGCACCTAGAATCTTGGGTTGGTTCTTGAGATCCTCTCTATTTGCCCTCCACATACCATGAAGTACAGGATATGTATACCTCTGACTGCAGAAGAGGTAAGTGACCCTGCTTTCTGTACTACAAAGGATTTATGCTGTAATGTGGGAAAGAGAGGGGTTAAATAATTCACTAATGAGTGTCCACTGCTGGATAATCTAATTAATAGTAATTCCATTAAGTAACTTGGTGCTGAATAAATTGACTTACTTGTATTCTTGTATCCCATCCTATGCTGAATTTTCCAAGTTCTTGTTGATATTAGCATATGTAATGTTAAATAGTTTGAATTACTCTTTTGGCAGTAACTCATACAAAGCTGGATAGATAACATGACTGTCTTTAGTGTAAATAATCCATGCCTTGCTGGGAGGTCATCTAACCTCACTATCCAGTATAATGTGTGTATCTGTCAGTGTTTGTGTGTATCTGTGTGTGTGTGTGTGTGTGTATCTGTGTGTGTGTATCTGTGTGTCAGTGTGTATCTGTGTGTGTGTCTATGTGCTTGTGTGTCAGTGTGTGTATCTGTGTGTGTATGTGCCTGTATGTCAGTATGTATACATGTGTGTAAGTACCTGTGTGTCAGTGTGTGTATCTGAGTGTGTCTGCTTGTGTCAGTGTGTGTATCTGAGTGTGTCTGCTTGTGTCAGTGTGTATATCCATGTGTCAAAGTGTGTGTATGGCACGGTGTGTCAGTGTGTTTATCTGAGTGCATGTGTATGTTCCAGTTGGTGTATCTGTGTGTCAGTGTGTGAATGTGCCAGTGTGTGTAACTGTGTGTGTGTGTATGTATCACTGTGTGTATCTGTGTGTCAAGGTGTGTGCATGTGTCAAGGTGTGTATCTTTGTGTCTGTTTGTGTATGTCAGTATGTATATGAATGTGTGTTTGTGTCAATGTGTTTATGTGTATCTGTGTGTTAATGTGTAAGTATGTATGTATGTGGCAGTGTATGTGTATGTATCCCAGCAATGAACAACAACACAACCTACAAACACACCTCTGCAATCACAAACATTATATACAAAAACACCCATAAATTCAAACTACACATTTATATACAAACAACACACCCTTCACTCAAACACCAATACTACACACAAATATACATCCGCATTTAAAAGCCAATGTTAAGTTCAAACCACCTCTGCATGCAAATGCAAACACACCCAGTATTAAAAAGCTAACATTATATACAAACATCAACTCTACACACAGAAGCACACCTGCTCCTAAGTACTGCAATCTGTTTACTGTCTGTAGAAATTAGTGTATATATACCAATAAATTAAATTAGTTAAAAAATAAAACATTACACTCTGCTAATTGCTAATTAAAAGATTTGTGCTATGGCGTAATATTTTTGGGGGTGTTTCATGATGTTAGTATAGTATGTCAAAGGGTTCAACTGGAAAAATAATTGGGAACCCCTGGACTAGGAAATCGTTCCAAAGTTCTAGTTTAAAAAAAAAAAAAAATGATTTACAATGATTAATTATCGAGAAGCATAATTAATTAAGGGTGTTGTGGCCTATTTGTTTCATTGAAGAAGCACCCCCAAAGAAGTATATCTTACTCAGTTGGCACTGGTTCAGTGAATGCTGGTTATGAATACTATTATGGTGTCAACGAACATAAACATTTCTAACATTCTCCTATGTTTTTTTTCTCTATTTTAGCTGCTACCATGAATGTTACTGCTGATGCAATCTTCACTACAGGAGAATATGAATATCCAGAAAATTATTTAACAGATTTGGAAATTATATCCCCTTACACATCCATTTTCAAACCTATTGTCTATTGCCTAACATTTGTCTTTGGATTGATTGGAAATATTTTGGTGATGATCGTGTTGGTAGGCTGTAAGAAGCTTAGCACTATGACGGACATTTACCTACTAAACATGGCGATTTCTGACATGGTCTTTGTCCTGTCCTTGCCATTTTTAGCCTATACAGCCACAGACCAGTGGGTGTTTGGAGATTTCATGTGCAAATTATTATCTGCATTGTACTTCACTGGATTTTATAGTGGTATATTCTTTATAATGATCATAAGTGTGGACCGCTACATGGCAGTTGTTCATGTTGTTTTTTCGCTCAAAGTTAGAACAGTCCATTGGGGATTAATCATTAGTATTATAATTTGGCTTATATCTTTTTTCTTTTCTATACCTAGCTTTATAACTCACCAAGTATACCACAGTAATTATTACTTCTGTGTCCCTATTTACCCAAGTGATAGCATTATGAACTGGAAGTTGTTTTCGTACATCAATATCAATATCTTTGGCTTGATCATTCCTTTATGTACCCTAACATACTGCTACTCTCAAATTATTATGAACCTACGAAGGAACAAAACCAAACAGAAGAAATATGCCATTCGATTAATACTTACAGTTGTTATTGTGTTTTATCTTTTTTGGGGTCCTTATAATATACTGCTCTTTCTACACATTTTAGAAATGTTTGGCGTACTCAAAGACCGTGACGTGAGCCATTTGAATTTGGCATTAGAAATAACACAAATATTGACCTTGGTACACTGTTGTCTAAATCCTATTATTTATACTTTTGCCGGTGAGAAATTTAAAAAGTATTTATACATAATTTTAAGGAAGCCTTTTAGGGCAATTAAAACATCCAGAATCAGGCAGTCATTTCAAAGTTCATTCACAGACCGCACATCTACAAGCAAAGAAAGCAGAACTTGCTCTGTCACAGATGAGTTTGTATAATCTTACTGTGCTTGTTTTGGTTAATTGAGAAACTCTTTGATAATAAGAAAAAATATAATTCGTAAAAATTTCTCAAAAATTCTTATCAATCAAAAATAATTCAGATTTTTCACCCTTTAAAACAATGCAAGTTTATTCATTGAAGTGTGATTTTTTTTGATGGGTGAGGGGGTGCAAAATGGCTGGATTAAAAGATCCCAATTTAGCTATTATTCAGGCCTATTTTGCCTAAAGATTGAATTTCCTGGGTCAATAAAATAATTAAACGTGAGAAATAGCTTTTTTTTCCCAAAAAAGTTATTCATGTAATCCTTAGTGATAATGTAAATGTATTGTTTATCTTGTACAAATGGACAGGTGTTTGTCAAGGTTTATAAGGTTGTGTTAATGCAATATTAAACATATTATGAAAAGGCTTCTCATCAATAGAAATTAAGAATTTTTTATTAAAAAAAAAAAGCAGTGCTAAAATCACTCTGTGGGATTTATTAACAAAAATAGTAAGAACAGCACATTCTGGAGATGTGATTTTATATAGTTGCAACCTGGAATGGAAACCACAGTTTATGGAGCAGAGGTTGACTACAACTTCCCTGATGCTTTGCCACCATTATGTCTGCAAGAGTAACAATGGTTAAAGAGTTACAACCTGAAATGAAATCAACAAATATTGTTGGGTTATTTTAAATGACATGTACAAGACACAACAGATAGGATGGATAAAGTGCTTTCGAAAAGACAAAAAAAAAATCTATTTGGCATTAGCATAAAACAATATAGTGAATGGTGATATATTGGTAGAAAACCAGATGCAAAATTCAGGCTTAAATTGCCCAGCTATGAATTATACCCAAGATAGATTTATTTTTGCAAAATCATATATTTTGCCCTTCACTTTAAATTTGACTACAATTTGCTGATTATAGAATAAACTGTGAGGCCTAAAGTTGCCATTGCTCATAACTAGGAGCACTTTCCATGGTGATGCAATATTTTGGTAGCATCTTATTTTCTGGATACTTTTCGTAGCACAGTCTGGAAAACTGGTGGGGATTGAGTCTAGAAGACACTGAATGTTTGTCTTCCAGCAAAATAATAACCCTTAACACCCAATCAAACATACACTGGGATGTTGACAAAATCAACCTAGACTTCAGTTGTGAATGGGTAGGAAGATTTAGAATTTCTGTTCATCAAGGGTTCCTATTCAACCAGTCAGACTTCTAGCAACTTTGCCACTAAAAAAAGTCAAAAATTGTGAGATCCATCTCTTCTCGGGTTCTTTACTAGATTAACACTCGAAATAGGCTCAATGATGGCCCATATATTGGACACCTCAGTTCAGTTTGAAACTGGTCACCATGGTTGCTTTAAACCCCCTAGCTAAATCATATCTTTGTGTTTTATGCACTGTGTAATTGGGAGGATTTGAGGGTTATTCTGTGACCTTTCATTCTGCGACCATGTAGAGAAGGCTCCCAAAAGAACTTGTAGACAAGTCATCAGTTATGATGTACAGAATCATTTTTAGATACATGTATCCGGGTTATTTGGCATTCTGTGTGGATATGTAAAATGTTTTGTGTGTCACCCGATAACCTTGATGTCTTTCTGTAACATCCCAACTTCTCATATGCTTCTCCTAACACTCTTTTATGTTTCTCTTAATCTCCATTACCTGTTTGTTGTCATTTAACCCCAGTTATCCAACCGTGTGCCACTTAACTTAACTTAACCTACGCTCTTGAGAGTCTCTTCACCCCCTTCATGCCCTTATCTTTATTTCCAGACCTACATACCCTCTTTTGTGTCTCAACCTCATTTAACCCTTATATGTCTCTTAAACCCATTTTACCTCCTTATGTGTTTCTTAAATCCATTTTATACCCTTCTGTGCCTCTTATAACCTCCAATCTTTTACTTTTTGTATCTCCTATTCCTTGAACAGTTTGTGTCTCTTACCACCCCCACCTAGGCACATCTTGTCAAACCTGTCATGTGGCCTTGAGGTTCCGCAGTAGAGAATCTTCATTATCCTTTTTAACCATAACATTTAAAGGCATGAGCCTCAAGTAGGGGTAGAATAGGTATATGTAGAATTATACAATAGTGAATGTTTGCAATTTAAATGTGAATAATATTAGACATTCGAAAACATAGACTAACCTGCAGGTTTTTAATTGAAGATGTCAACATTATCAACACCCATACACTTACTTACCATGTGGCTATCCCAATATATACATTTCCTAACTGTAATGTAAATTCAGTAGAAGCCTAGAATGTCCTTTATAACACATTTTAATATGTGTATTGCCCCATGTTTTAAAATCTATGAGTCTCTGCATTGGAATCAGTTATCTTTCCGGACCAGGCTGCTGGAACCTATGACTTCACATTTTGCTTATAGGAAGAATAAAAGGATGATTAGCAACCTGGCATCATATTGAGTGCTCAAAATAATTTATTTGTCAGTTTGACAAACTCAGCATTTATTGGCCCACTTCTTAATAACATATGTGAAAAATGATAAGAGGAAATGGCATGGGTCAGCTTATTTATCAAGTTGAAATAATTATATTTTGAAACATGTAGTCACACCATGTATATTGCAGACAAATGGAGATTTTACTGGATTTTTTTTTTTTTTTTGTCTGCATATGATGACGTTAAAGAACTGTGCTCTGCCTGCCTTTTATTTCTTTCAAGGGCTGATGTCTTTTAATCTGGCTTCAAACACTGTATTCTTGTATTTATCTGAAGTATATGGTAACTAAGTAGTTGCTGTATGAAACAGCAATTCAGGGTTCCTCTTTTAGCAAACATATATATATATATATGTGAATGCTATAATATACAGTTGTACTCAAGAGTTTGCATACCCTGGTAGAAAATGGGAAATTTTGTATTGATTTTGAAAATATGACTGATCGTGCAAAAACCTTTAATTTATTGAAGGATAGTGATCATATGAAGCCATTTATTATCACATAGTTGTATGGCTCATTTTTAAATCATAATGGAAACAGGAATCACCCAAATGGCCCCGATCAAAAGTTTACATACATTTGAATGTTTGGTCTTGTTATTGACACACAAGGTGACACACACAGGTTAAAATGGCAATTAAAGGTTAATTCCTCCTTTTTAAATTACAATTAGTATCTAGGTATAAAAAGTCAATGAGTTTGTTAGTTCTCACCTGGATGAATTGTGCAGGTTGTGATGGAGCGCCGTCACTGCATACCATGCCCGCATGCTTGCCTTCTTATGGGAGTCAGGTCAGGGCTATTTAACAATGTATTGCTTGTCTGTGCCTCTCCCCTCCCCCTTCCTTTTCTGAATATATTGCTTGTCTATGCCTCTCCCCACCCCCTTCCTTTTCCTGTTGTAGACCCCATGTAGGGGTTTCTGCCTAACAAACCATGTGTGACAAAATAAAGGGATTTCTCTATACCTGGACTGGATTGTCTCTCAGGCACAGAGAATCATGAGAGGAATTGCCATGGGGGGTTGGGTTGGAAACCCCTTGCATGGGGCTTTTGCATAAGTGGATTTCTCTGTACCTGAGAGGGAACTGAATTCTCTCTCAGGCACAGAGGATCATGGGAGGGATGACCCTGTAATGTTGTGTTGGAGATGTCTTGCATGGGGCTTTTGCATAAAAGGCACTGAATAAAGAGATAGTAAAAACAAAGAGAATGTTACCTGCGCTCTGGCCTAAATCCCTATGTACATTTAGACAAAATGAAGGCTCTTTAGTTTTATTCCAATGGCCATTTGAATACATAAGCTCACCTGCCACGTCAAGGCAAGCCTCAATAGGTGAGTCCTACACTAGCCATTAGATATGCTGATATCAGCCAAGAATCTCCAGTAAGACAGGAAGGGGTATTTTATAAACCCTTTCACATTTAACCCTTTATAGGGCTTCTACACATACAATAAACTTTGCTGGTATCAGACAAAGTGTAAACATCTCGTATGAGACATGAAGGGGTGTTTTATAAACCCCTACATACTTAACCCTGAATAGGGCCAAAGCACATACAAATCACCTTGCTGGTATCAGCTAAAAGGCAAATTTCTCTAATGAGAGAGGAAGGGGTGCTGCCACGTTTGTCTTATTAAGAGGTTGTAAGTATGTAGGGGCCGCACCCCTTCCTATATAGTTTATATGGCAGGGTTAAAATGACAGGATCATTGATTGGGGCGACTGTGGGATTGAGGCATCGTTCTATGGATGCTCCTGTGGGATCCTCCATAGATTTAAGAGTTGTACTCTCACACATGTGCAAAATTACAGTACTGACTTGGAGGGCCAGTAGAATGATGATGATGATGGATCAAGGAGGATAGCAAACAAATGAGAAGGTAGGAAAGTAGCATAACTGGAAGGTGAGAGTGGAGTGTGGCCCTTTACAAGAGCAAGATACAGGTTTGTGAAATATACGTTACTCTGAGAGGCCTAAGCTTTCCAGTAGAGATGGGATTTGAGCCACTTCAGATTGAAGACCAGAGGAGAGTCTACTGGGGGAAGGCAGGCTGGCCCAAGAAAACTGGGCTACCTTTGAGAAGTCCTGCAAATGCAAGGCAGCAGTAAGTGTACGAGAGAAGAAGGTCACCTGCAGAGAGCAGAAAGACAAAAACAAGGGGCAGACCTATGAATTAGTGAAAATATGTAACAGGGGCTAGAGTTGTTTAGAGCTTTATAGGTTAGTGTTTTAAATTGACACCTATAGGATACAGGAAACTGATGTAAGGATTGACAGTAGGGAGAGGCATGAGACGAGCTACAGGAGAGAAAAACCAGCCTGGCGACAGCATTCATTGCTGACTGTAGCAAAGCAGTACAGTTTCTGAGGAGACCAATTAGGAGAGAATCAATGTAATCAATGTGAGAAATAATTAGTGCATGAACAAGCTCTGTAGCAGCATCTTGCGTAAGAAAGGGGCAGACACTGTCAATGTTTTTAAGGTGGAATTGGCAGGATGTGGCAACAGACTTGACGTAAGGCATAAAGGTGACATCAGAATCAAAGTTAACATCAAGACAGGGAGCATGGAAAGATGAGGGTACCATCAACTTGCAGGGAGAGCAAAAGAGGAGGATTAATACTATGAAGTGAAAAAATTAACTTTGTTTTAGAAAGCATAGATACAAAAATGTAAAATGGGCAAAGAGAGACATTTTAATTTTATGGGTGTAGCTGGAGGTGTGGCCAAGGATGGACTGCTCTGAGAAATTTTACATGACTTATTAATAACTATATATGCAACTAAAATCTAATTTAGAACAAGAACAATGTATCTTAATTACACAGACTTATTTCTAAACACATTTATTGCTGTTTAAAGACACATTAC